GCGAAGTGGGCTTTCTGCAGGGGCAGAACATGATGACGGAGTCTGTGTGGACGAAGTGGTTTGTGGATTAGGAAGAGGGGTAACGGATGGAGACAAAACCAGGGGAGGTAGGAGTGGTGAAGACAGGGGTGGTAGAGTAGTCGGAAGGTGGGTAACAGACGGCGATAAAACCAAGGGAAATAAAAGCGGTGAAGACGGGGGGGATGAAGTCAGGGGTGGTGAAGTGGCTGAAGCAGAGACAGGGGCGGCAATCGTAGGTGAGACCCGAAGAGGGGACTCTGCAGGCGGTAATGCAGGCATGGCCACGGATGCCATGGAGGAACGCACCGAGACCAAGGGCGACACAACAGATGCGGTGGTCACGGATGCCATGGAGGAAYACACTGAGACCAAGGGCGACACAACGGCTGCGGTGGCCACGGATGCCATGGAGGAACACACCGAGACCAAAGGCGACACAACAGCTGCGGGTCGAGTTGCTCCCGCGGAATCAATCGTAGAAGCAACCAAGGCCGATGAGGAAGAGGCTGCGAACCGAAAAGGGGCAGCCAGGGTCACAAACGGCATGGAAGGGGTTACTAAGACTGATGAGGACGCAGGTGCGGCAGACGCAGGTAATGAAGAAGAGGTTGTGATAGGTGTGACAGGCGCCGATAATGAAGAAGGGGCTGTGACAGGCGTAGTCCGAGGACAGTGTGTAGATACCCAAGAAAGCGGGTGATGAATAGACCATCGAAGCATGCTCTGGAACCAGTTGGAGAGGCGGGTCACATGCGCAGGGTACCTGTGTTGACGTTTACGAATATAGGAAGTCCATCCTTTCGCAAGCGTTGTTGGAGAGTGCCCGCGAAAAAGCATGCGGCGTGTGAGCATCGCTGCTGCAGTTTTGAAATCATACCAGTTGTTGCAGACATACTCAAACCTAGTAAGCTGGCCTGTAAACACTCCCGCCGGCTGGTGTGCAGGGACGTTAGATGTAGCACTAGGATAACGAATAACAGGGAAATTCCATTCAGCTGCTTTGTCAAAGACACTCATACGCAGGGAGCCGTGAGGGCGGACTTGGAGGCGTGCACCCAAGAATGTGCAAGAGTCATCAGGCGTTGTGGTCTCCTTCCATTTGAGGCCATAGTGCTCTGACGGTGGTGGCAGATGTCCCCATGAGAGAACATCATCGATCAAGCGGTATGTGAACGCATACCGTTGAGCTTCACAAAGATCACGCCGCTGGAGGTCATCAACAAATCGAGCCTCATCCCAATACAACGTCAAATTAGCTATCTCCGGACCAGAATTAGTCCCCATCGGGATGCCAATCAACTGATGTCGCAAGGTGCCGTCCGCTGCATAAAGATAACTGTTTGTGACAACGAAATGGAGATGTTCATGAATTTGGGAAACGGTCAAGGTGTTTGGTCCGGTATCAACCGTCCACTCCCCTTGACGAGGCCCTTTAACAATCATGTTAAGGGTAGGAGGATGTGTGCGTATATCTATATATATCGTCACAAACAGAACTGCCCGGTAAACCGTAGGCAGAGAGAGAGAAGAGGGCAACAAACGAGGGGCTGTGGCAAACTGTTTCGTCGAAGTTTCACCTACTCATCAGGAGGCTGAACCCTCAACAGTCTGCAGAATCCCCTCACTGATTACACTGTAAATGATAATCTACCTTAACCAAAATCAAATGAGACTATCACTCACCCACACCAGATGGAAAACTCTACAGACTATCGGTTCACATATATATATATATATATATCGTCACAAATAGTATATATATATATATATCGTCACAAACAGAACTGCCCGGTAAAACCATAGGCAGAGAGAGAGAAGAGGACAACAAACGAGGGGTTGTGACAAACTGTTTCGTATATATATCGTCACAAACAGAACTGCCCGGTAAAACCGTAGGCAGAGAGAGAGAAGAGGACAACAAACGAGGGGCTATGTATATATATATATTGTCACAGAAACGATCAGACGCTCTACGGTTGTGGTAAGCTCTCGCACTAACTTGTACTTTCGAGCATCAAGCTTTAATAATCCATCAGTGGCAATTTGTGTCTGTTGAGGATTGTGCCACCGTGCTTCCACTAAGTCCATAAAGCTTTATAGGGTGTGGGTCTCCGCCCAATCACCCATGTTCCTACCGAACCCCTTTGAAGCTACGAATCCATTTAGCCAGCGAGTTGCTGAACCCTCTAAGTAGGATGCGGCAATAATCACTTCCTCCTCTACCAATGTCCTCTTTGCCCTCGCCCACACTGGCACCGTTCTCAACCACGTGCCGAGAACCTCGTCCTTCTTGTCTTCTGAGAAGGTTGGAGGTGGTTTCGGGGGGGTCTTGGGATACGAAGGAAATTGTTGTCCCGCTGGCGAGACAGGTGGCGACTGTGGTGTAGCACCAGTCGCTGGACCGGAAGATGAAGAAGCAACAGTCTGAGATAGGGCTGCTGCTGATGTACCACTTGGAGGTGGTCCGGACTGAGCGGCATAGGGGCCTGTCGTCGCTGAGAATGGCAGCGATGGCAAGATTGTTGGCCTGGTTCTTGGCCTATCCATGGCATTCAGGATCTGGTCTAAGGTGTCCTGGATGATATCCAGTTTACTGTCCATGTATGCGTGCATGGACAGGATGCTCGCCTTCAGAATCTTTTCATTATTGCTAAGGGTCGAGTCATCTAACCCCTCTAGTGCAGCCTACCCTTTAGTCTGACACTCCTATCTCTAATCTTTTTCTCTTTTAGTAGTCTGTCCGAGTTCCTCCTCTAGCCTTAAGCGAATCCTCTCTACTTGTTGGAGCTCCATCTGCTCCCGAGTGTGTGGAGGTGGCGAGATGAACTGCGAACCTGCCATTGCTACCTCACTCGCTGCTGCTGCTGCTAACGCGCGTCCAGCCGCTGCTGCTGCCTGTCTCGCAGTCTCTAGATTGTGGGCCCTTGTCTCGGCCCTAAGCCTTCTCTCGTCTCCTGGTAGTAGAACCTGGAACACAACGGGTATCCTACCGGTATCCCGTCGTGTCTGCCTCCTATTGTCAGATCTATCCCCCCCACCCTCTGATCCGCTCATAGGCTAGGCAGACGCTATCTGCACCAATGTCCTCTTTGGGACCTAATGCAGCATGCGTCTAACCGGTTCTAAAAATAAATAACATAATTGGTGTCCGGTGAGTTACCTAGACTACTAGTCAAGCGACATCAACAGCATCTACACAAACTGTACACATGTAGTCTACCTCTATCTTTGATTAGTTCTGCACAGAAGCTTTAAGAAGAATTGACTATGGTAGATTACAGTCCTACTCTAGGCTGTCTGTTAGGTGTTAGCAGTCTGTGAACCAACTAATCAAGATAAAAATAAACTACAGTGAGCAGATGTATGCACAATGGATAATTTAGTGATGTACAGCTGAGTTCACAATTGGAATCCCTTCCCTTGTATCCAACGTATCTATGAGCATCATCAAGCTGCGGTGTCCAAGGTGTGCAACCACGGCCCACCCTTGTGCCCAAGAAGTATGCTTATGACCAGCCTGCCCTTTATTTACCCTCGCGTGCAACGAGCCTTACGTCTGACTGATCTGGCTGATCAAGAGGCAATTTAAGGTCAGCCCCCGAGAGTCCTCGGGAATTTTTTAACGTCGCAATCAGGACGACGATCACAGCCAATGGACAGTTCAGACCCCAACCAGAAATGTTTATAGACGGTCTGGGAGCGTCTACGTAAGACTGGTCAGTCCGCACACCCCTTCTATCAGCGCAGCAAAGAGCGTCAATGGACAAAGCAGCATGGCTTGCGTGTACTAATACCCATGGGTTGGCATGGTGACCGTGACCCGTGCTTCAACCAGGGCTCTTCAAAGGCACCGCCCTCTCCTGCCAGATGCGCCACCGGGAAGAATGTCGTCTCTCAAGATAGAGCGCACATGACTCCTTTCAAAAGAGAGGACACTCAAGTTGGACTCACTTCCTCACGGTAAGAAGAGATTGAGAGGGTAGATAAGGAGTGGGAACAATGTACCTGGAGATAGCTGCCCCCAACCACAAATTCCTCACCAATTGGGCCGACATGCATTTCGATGACCGGTCATTAGCCTTGGTACCACCCACAACGCAATGCAGTGCCACCTCAGCCAAAATGCCACGTCAGCATACTCTCATCATCATGCATACACCCGTTGTCGCCATAGCTCCCACGTTGTCGGCACAGCCTTCCAGCGGCCGGCCTCTCCACCTAGGCTCCGCTAATCAACCAGCACCGAAGTATCCTTACTGCACACGAAGCATTGTCAGCGCACCAAGTCACAATGTTGCCGGTGCCAGGTAAGCGGCGATCACCAACCAACTCCGATACCAAATTGCAAGGAATATGAGACTCAGTGTGAGCGATATACATAAAACCAAATTGCGAAATCACACAGCTGTCCAAGTAGTCGTGTCCCAAGCAGGGAGTACAAATGCACCAAGAAAACCATCCATATAGAGCAATACAATGAAGTAATGAGCCAATGTTCAAGCCCGTAGGCCACACCAACACAATATCCAAAGTCGCTCTGCTCCGGCTGGCGCTCAGCACCCAGCCTACTCTACCCAACTATCCTACCTACAGCTGGTGCACACAACAGTATCACTTCGACTCACGAAGACCAATGTACATGACTGACAACACCATCGCCGACCTCTCTTCATGTACCAGGTACGTATCTCGTCACCCTCAATCAGACCTTGATTACCCCACACTCGCCTCCTTCCCTGAAGACCACTCAATCGCCGCATTACCCCCCGGCGCCCAGCAGCCCGGCTATGGCCGCCTGTGCCCCGCTGCCCTGCAGCACCCCACTTCACCTCTACGCGCCCCGTCAGCGCCCTTGGCAGCAGCGCAGCATCAAGCGAGAGCGCAGCAGCATTTCCGCATTGCCAGCACTGGCCAGAATGCCTGGCCTGGGCTGCCTCACTCCTTTTGTGGAAGTGGCAGCCTCCTGGATGCTGCGTGTGGCCTAGCTGGAAGCTTCCAGTAGCTTCCGGTTGGGTCCCAGACCCTGCGCCCAGGCCCGAGACTACAGTTGAGGGCCTGGGCCCTTCACAGTTAGGCACGGCCTGAGTCTCTGGACTTGGGCTGTTTGCTGCATCTGTGCAGGGCTCCCAGGCAGGTGCGTCGGCACTACTGCTTTTGCCAAGGCCGAAGGCCTGCTTCACAATGTATCGGCCCTGCTTTGTGTATGTGTGCCCAGGCGCAACTGTCAAGGCCTGGGCCAATTGTATGACGCAGAAATGTGAGGGTCACGCGTCTACCCAACCAACTGGCGTGCCGCGAGAGCCCGAATACCCACATATGGAAATGTCGAATTTTGCCTCTGACGAATATTCCGGCCCGCCTTCACTTAGGGCGGGCACTTTGGCTTGCTGGGGGCCTTAGCCCAGAACAATGTGATGTCTGATAGGGCCCCTTGAGGGCTTGTTCCTCACACATACATATATACATCGTCACATAAATATCAGAGCGCAAAAGCGAAAACAAAGGAAAACAAAAAAAAAATCAATTCATTTTTTATCTTCTTCCTTACAACTCCCCCTGTTCAGAACCTCTTGCGTACAAGGCCGCCCATGTGGATGTAGGTTGAGCGGCGGCTTCCCCCACCCCCGTGTGTCATATCGACCCACTTCCACACAGCCAAAAGGCAAAGAGGCAAAGAAAAGAGGAAGGGAACAGCCAAATAAAACAGAACAGGGGGCAACAAAACAGATCCCAGATGACAAGTCCCCCATGCAAGCACCGCCCTTGCACCACAGGCCAAACCACGGGACAAGACCAACCAGGATGTCAAAACATTCTTGTCTGCAGAAAAAAAAAAAAAAAAAGCTCCAGTTCACAGTGTGACAACCAAAAGGAAAGAGAAGACAATCCCGGATGACAATTCCCACATACAAGCACCACCCCGCACTCAAAAGGCCGAACGCCGGGAAACAACCAACCAGGATGCCCAATATACAGAATCGAAGCAGACAAGATTCACAAAACAAACATTCTACCATATCCAAAAAACGGAACCATTCAGTAGGCCCGCAAAACGCAACATCCCAACAATGGGGAAGATTCAAAAGAAAAATATGGATGGTGTTATTGCCTTTAACTTTAACGCTATATATATATAGTCAAACAGAGCTGCCCAGTAAACCGTAGGCAGAGAGGGAGAAGAGGACAACAAACGAGGGGCTGTGGCAAACTGTTTCGTCGGAGTTTCACCGACTCATCA